AGTCTAGACATTATTTCCCCGTATCGGCAATACCGTGAGCGCTGACTTCTTAACTATTTGATTTAATATCGTCCGTCTGGCTGCTATGGCATAGTGTTTGTGTATCACGATCAGTGTTAAAACCAAGACCCACCTTGAAGCCATTATCCTGAAATAAATACGAAGGATGTAAATAATCCAAATGAAATAGCCGCTATGATCGCTGTTCGGCAACACCACAGAACCGGAGCTATATAAGGGATTGCAGAGCTAAGTTGCATGAGTCGTTGAAAGTACAGACGAGTGTTAGGAACAAAGTTCATAAGGATTCAGTTGTATTCAAGTGTTCGTTGGTTACTCGTATTTCAGAATTAAATACTGTAAGGTACGTACAATGCTTTTTCTTTCTTTCTTTTTTTTGTTTTTCGAAATGTATGTTGAAAATCAAGTTCCAGGTTAAAGGTGTAGGTAATTACTCTGCAATTTGTTGGTTGTGCTCTCTTCCCCGTGTCGCTGTCTGTTAACGAAGCAGATACAGTGGCCCCTGCACCAGCGAGGACTTTTCTTAGTTCAGTGCGTCGTGGTTGGGTAGATAAAAAGTACGTTTATTGTTGTTTTCCTTTCATCTTTGTATACACGTTACTGTGTATGTTTATATATATATATATATATAATACACACACACACATATATATAACAGAAATATATAAATGTAGGTGTATGTCCTTATGTATATATATTCATATATATATATGCATGTATGTTTGTATGTATATGTCCATGGATTGGTCTAATATTCATTCAATATACTAATTTTACGTAACCCGTGGGTTTACGTAATTATACTTTTGTAAAAAAGGTTATTTAAGGGCATCTTTTGTTCATCAAGAAAAACCACCAACGCGTTGGATTTTTCCCATTCCCGTTCAGATTTTCGGCAACGCGTTGGGTTATTTTACGTCATCGTTTAGACTCCGCCTATTTAGCCTGAAATTCGTTGCCAGAAGCCCACCTCGTTTCTAGTGTTTATTTTTTCACCGGAGAAACTTAGCCGTGCTTATATTTTACAACGGAAATGCGTTAAATATATTTCTTGATCATTCTGTATTCAGAGATCAAAGAAATAAACTATGAACAGAGATTATCTTCGCTATTGATAGAGTCATTTGAAACATATGGAAACTTTCCCTCTCAAACACACGGTGTCTCAATTAATCTCTTCGATTTTGTATATTAACAATAGCATGTGTATGTATAAAGTTGGAACATGTAATATGGCTTTGGAAAGTGAATTGAATTAAATAAACATGCTTATATAAACCTGATGAAATAACAAAAAAATGTTGGTCGTTACTGTAATTGTACGATGTGTAATTGTCATATAACCGCGGTAAGACCTCTCTCAGAGCGAGGATGAAACTGAAAGTTTTACGAAAAAACCAGCCACGGCAGCTGGACAAGTCGAGAGGCCATTGTTACACACACATACACACACACACATACATATACACATGCACATATACACACATACACACACATATACACACACTCACTAACACGTACTCACACTCACACTCTTACACACACAGACATACACTCACTCATGTACATATGCATACATATGCATGTATATACAGTGTGTACGTGTGTTTGTGAGTGTGTACAAATATATACATGCACATATCTATACATATATAGATAGATATGTATTTATGTGCATACATACCTTCGAGTGTGTAATGATTTTCCTTCTCTCGTGCAGCATGGATTACCCGACGAAGGAAAAGCTGCATCTGGTCGAACACTCAGTCACTCCCGCCCCAGGATCCTCAGAGGCGTCAGCAGAGAAACCCGAAGAAGCAAATAACTGCTGTTTCTGCTGCAGTTATCGGGCGGGCAGCATCAGCATCGCCATCTTCTATCTAGTAAGACTGGCCTCATGATATAGTGGAGTGCCATGTTATCTGTTGTGATATATCTGTTTATAGTGGAGCGTCATGTGTTATCTGTTGTGATATCTGTCTGTGTGTTATACCAGTGTTCGATTGTATGATGACATGAACACGAGTCTCGCTTATGTAAATTTATTACGTATTATCTGCAGGTGGTGCACTTATGTGCCTTAGGCTTTGTAATCGATGTCCTCTGCAGTGTGGGTGTGAGAAGTAGGTCATGACGTTGACTAAAAAAATATATGATGAGAAGAAAATGAAAACATGAAATATTACCTTTAATGGTTTTCTCCAATATGTGCAATAGGAATTATCACTTACATCAGTTTACGACAATTTAAGTAAATCTTGCTTATTTTTTCAGACATTGGCGCATTTGGTATTGTCACACTTAGTATGATGACAATTTCAGTAGTCCTTATCTCCTTGATGTTATACGGTGCCGTAAAGGTTAGTGAAAAATGTCTCAGCCACAAATGCCTCAGCCACACATTCACACGTATATACACACATACACATACATGTATATATACACATCTACATGTACAAACACACACATATATACGCACATACGTACATATATACCTACACAATCGTCCATATACATGTACATATACATACGTACATATAGATATACACATACGCATATATATCCCAATGGCGCCGGGTGTACAAAAAAAAAAAAAAAAACTTCTACGCTTAAGCAAGCAAAGGCGGCGCGGGATATAGTATGGATACATACATGTATCCATACATGATCGAATGATAAAAAGAGAATAAACAAAGATCAAGAAATTACGAAAGAAACGAAAGAGAGAACGAGAAATCTCCTAATTCTCTCCCTCGTTTCAGCGCCGTCACCAGTACCTCCTAGCCTGGTCTGTGTGGGAGCGCCTAAACATCGGCCTCGGAACGGCGAGTGTGGTCATCAGTCTCTTCTTCTTGGGCGCCTTTGGACTCGTGGGCTTCATTTTCATTGGTCTCCGAATCTTATGCCTTTACGTCGTTCTGCAGTACCGTGGCCAGGTAAGTTTTTATTCCCCGATTAATGTTTTTCTTTTCTTATTTTTTTGTTATTGTTATTGTTTCTCCTTTTTTCTTATTATTATCTTTCTTCTCCTTTTCCTCCTCCTTCATCTTCTCCTTTTAGTCCTCCTACTCCTCCTTATCCTACTCTTCCCCCTCCTTCCTCTCCTCCTCTTCCTGCTCTTCCTAATCCCCTCCTCCTCCTCCATTTCCCCCTCTTCTGCTTCTCTCCTATTTCTCATTCTTATCCTCCTCCTTCTCTCCCTACTCCTCCTCTTTCTCCTTCTCGTACTCCTTCTTCTCTTCTTCCTCCTTCTGCCTCTTCTACTACTCCTCCTGCTCCTCCTTCTACTTCTACTCCTCCTTCTCCTCCGCATTCTTCTCTTCCTCATTCTTCTTTTCCTCCTTCTTCCTTCTACTCTTCCTACTCCTCCACCTACTCCCCCTCGATTACCGTGACTGATGTATGTGTGTCTATACCGATTAAGTGATACGGAAATAGACAAATATAATGGGGAAAACAGTCTCACACGGAGCCTTACTTTCGCAGCTGATGGCCCAGCCTCCGAAGTCAGAGGGCAACGCCCAGGCCTAATTTACGAAGATGCAGCCTCCTTTTCCTCCCACGCTGGGCTTCAGGAAATTTGTGAAACCTCTAGGGTTTCATTATATATATATGTGTGTATGTGTTTGTAAATTGTTTGTTTTTGTAATGTTATAATTGTTTTTTGTATTCCTTATGGAATAAAATATATATTACTGAAATTGATTTATTTCCCTTACTCAACGTACAAGAATGTGATTATCTTACATGATATTCCTTTGCAGAGAATAACCGTCATAACAGTAATAATAATGAAAAAGACAAGAACGGTAATGGCAATAAGAGTAATGGAAATGCAACAAAAAGAAAACTAAATAGGTGTAGTTGTTCGCAGCAGAGATGGTTAATGGTTAAAAGCAAGATAAATGTGCTAGACATCTAAGGTCATGTAGCACTATAGTAAATGTTAGCGAAGGGTGGTTGAGTTGGTGATTAGTTGTCAAAGCTGGGCAAAGGAATTGGTGAGTGAAAGGGTTAAGGTCGGGTGTGGCAATGTAAAGGAGTTAGATTAGATGAAGGATATGTATGCGTTTGAGGAAAGAGAACAGGTTGTTGAAGCAGAAAGTGTGGGATTCTGTAAGCATGATAGGTTGGGAGGTCGGTGAAGGGAGGATAGGTGGGGGAAAGCAGAGGTACGGGCTGCTTCAAAATGTGGGCACGACAATAGGATGTGTGAGATTGAAAGGGGAACATTACATAAGGAACATAGGGGTGGATCGGATTGTGACATCAGATAGGAGTGTGTTAGACGGGTGTGGCCAATGCGTAAGCGCGCGAGAGCGGTCTCCCAACGTCTGTACCGATGAAATGGAGCTGACCAGGAGGAGATTGATAGTCTTACAGTATGTAATTTATTAGTGCGGAGACTTGACCAAAAAGATTGCCATCGATTATACAAGAAGGTATTAAAGTGTGGGTAATAATCCGTGGCTGGGATACGTGGTATGATGTGGACATAGCGGCGTAGCGTGCTAGTGTATCTACCTGTTCATTGCCGGGGATTCCAACATGGCTGGGCACCCAGCAAAATTTGATTGTTTTATGGCATGTGGACAGGTAGAACATGGTATGATCATGGTATAGATGGTATGCCTGATTCAGTGTACAGGCTCTCAACTGGAGAGGAGCGGAAGGCGCCTGGTGCTAAGCGAAGGCCACAGTGATGGATTGTATCAATATGGGCTAGGAGAGAAGTTGAGGCAGAGTAGATATGGCATCCATAATCAAGAGTGGAGAGGATCAAGGTAACATGAAGATGAAGGAGAGTTTTGCGATCTGAGCACCATGATATATGGGATAGAGTTTTTAAGATTCGAATATGGCGGAGAGCTTTTTCTTTAATGTGTAAAATATGGTCTCGCCAGGACAGTTTGGAGTCAAAAATGACACCTAGGAATTTGCCAGAGGAACGGTATTGGAGTGGAGTGCCATATAAGAAGAGTGGAGGTAGGGTACCCACACGTGTGCAAGAGAAAAGGATGGAGAAAGATTTAAAGATAGAAAAGCAGAAGCCATGGTTAGTGGCCCAAGAAGATACTGATGAGATTGCAGACTGAAGAAATTGGTAGAGATTTGGTATGGATGTGCCTGAGGCATAGATGGTTAAGTCATCAACATATAGTGATGACTGGGCTCCTGGTGGTAAAACTGAGACAAGGCAAGAAGGAATAAAGTGGTACTGAGCACACTGCCTTGTGGGACACCTTCGATTTGAGGAAAGAAAGATGATGTGGCATAGGCAATTTTGACCTGGAAAGTGTGTTGGGAGAGGAAAGACTTTATGAAGACACCCATGTTTCCACGTATGCCTAGAGAGGACAATTGTTGGAGAATATGGTACCGCCATGTCGTATCATATGCTTTTTCTAGATCAAAAAATATAGCTAGTATGGATTCATGGCATGCAAATGCGGATGTAATATATGTCTCAAAATGAGCAAGGGGGTCAGCTGTGCTTCGTGCACGGCGAAAACCGAATTGGGAAGGAGAGAGAAGAGTGTGAGATTCAAAATACCACATTAAGCGGAAGTTCACCATTCGCTCTAATAGTTTGCACAAGCAGCTAGTTAGTGCGATGGGGCGATAGTCTTGAGGGAGGGTACCCGATTTATTGGGTTTCAGGAAGGGAAGGATAAGGGCTTCTCGCCAATTTGAAGGAAAATTTCCTGATATCCATATGTGGTTGTAAATTTTTAATAGGAAGAATGAGGAGGAAGATGGGAGTTGCCGGAGCATATGGTAGTGAATACCGTCAGGGCCTTCATGAGTGTTGCGGCACCATTGTAGGGCAGCATTGAGTTCAGAGGAAGAAAATGGAGCATTATAGTGTAGTGACCCATACGGCGCCATGCGTGCCGGAGCAAGAATTGTTCGAGTCTCCCCTTGAAGAAACTGGGGAAAATATCCGCACGGCCGCTCAGACGATGTTGCCTTCTTCAGTTTTTATTGTATTTTTATTATTTTTAATGTTTTTATTGTTAAATAAAGATTTATGGTCTTAATGAAGAGGAACCATCACCATTTTATTTTTTCTTATTCTTTTAAGCACTCCTTTTTTTTTTACTTTAAAGCTAATTGAAGTTATTAATTTTAATATTTTCTTTTAAACATCCTATTGGTAACTTTTAATGGGGTTAAGGGGTTTTAACAACAAGGATGTAAGATTAAAAACCGTTTTTAATGGGTTAAGAACTGCCACGCCATCTAGGGAGGGGGGAGGTATTTAGCTCGTTCCCGGGCTAGTTACTAGCTATTAGCTAAGATCCTTGCTGGGGGTCGGCTATATATAGCCCGGGGACCGAGCGGATCTCAGCAGGGGGTCTAGATAGTATGCTCGTCTTAGCGGCCGATGTATACCCGGCGGAAGCGAAGACGTTGCTTTGTTGTATTGTTGCCCTGCGGTCGTAAGGACGGTTTTATATGGCAGTAAGGTGGGATATTTTAAAATTTTCTCTTTTTTTTTTATAGTATTAACAGAGTGCTCTTTTTTATGGTGTTTTAGGTTCCATTTTTTATTGTTTTATTTTGTGTATTTTTTTGAGTTCTGTTAAGAGTGTTTTAGCGTTAACTTTCGGAAGTAATAAATGTATATTAAGACTCTCAAGTGAAATCCTTTTCTTTATTAAACCCTTTTTATGAGACTACATGATACTTACCTGGCTACCTGGTGACAAGCAATTGACCACCTTCTATCAGCCCTTAAGGCTAACACGCACTCCCCTCGGGATTTAAACACGTTACCAACCAAACCCTTGTTGATTAGGTCATTTTTCCTTTTCTTACACACATGCTTTCCTTTCTTGCTGTCTTACACTCTTCTAGACGTCTTCTCCTTTCCACACACAAATTGTTCCTGGACGTATTAACCAGGTGGTGGCAGCGCTAATGACCTAATTAGCAAGGGGTTAATTAAGTAGATCACTACAATAGGACTCAGCAGAGGATAGGGTGAAGATAATGGGGGTATGTTCTCTGATGGTCTTAATAGAAGAGAAGTGTGGAGAAAGGTGAGAACCACTACTGACCTGGCTGAAATAATCACCTAGTTCATTAGCGACTTGGAGAGGATCAGAAATGAGGGTATCTCGAATATGGAGGACGGGGGCTGGATGGGGGGGATGCTTGCCTGATAGTTTATGGATTCAGCGCCAAAGATTTGAGATAGATGTAGAGGATGTAATTGATGAAACGTAATTTCGCCAGCTATTAGTTTTACTATTCCGGATTGTACGACGAAGACAGGCAGATGCTCTTTTAAAGGAGATAAGGGCTGATAGTTGATTTGGAGTACCTCTCTTGTAGCGGTAACTATTCCAGGCTGCACGTTTTAAGCGTGCAGCAGATTAAGAGGATCAAGGTATCATGGATTCCAGGCTGCACGTTTTAAGCGTGCAGATTGCTTTAGTGCAATCAGAATTCCACCATGGAACACATTTGGGGGTATAGGGTCTTGAGGTTCGAGGGATAGCTGTATGGGCGGCTCTTAAGACTGTAGTTGTGAAACACTGTATCATTTCTGGAATGGATGAGAGAGAGGATGGAGGGGTATGAATAGCAGAGAGTGAAGTGAAAGTAGTAAAGTAGGCTCTATCAAAGCACCAGCGTGGGGAATTAGGAAGTGGTACATATGAAGCAGGAGAAAGGAGAACTGAAAAGTGGTCACTAGAGGGAAAGTGGTCTAAAACTGACCAGTGGAAATCTAAATGAAGAGAAGGGGAGCATAGAAAGAGGTCAATGCATGAAAAAGATTGCGTAAGTGTATCAAAGTGTGTGGGGCGATCTGAATTTAGAATAGTAAGGTCAGCTGTGGAGAGGAAGCGCTCTAGAGATCGGCCTCGGGAGTTGGTGATAGAATCACCCCAAAGAGTATGGCGGCAGTTAAAGTCACCGACTATGAGGAAAGGTTGTTGAAGTGGAGAAATTAGATTTTCAAAAGGCATACAATGGATGGGTTATAAGAGGAAAGGATATGACGAAGGTCGGGTCTGTGAGAGCGGAAACCGCGAATATTCCAATGAAGGATAGTTATACTTTCGTTGATTTTGAGAAATAGACTGTAGTACGTGTTGGAGAATTGGAAGGGGAAGCAGCTAGAGGGTGGGATAAGGACTGAGAGGTCTGAGATGGGGGAGGTGCGGGAGTTGCTGTTGTATCAGGAGGAGTATTAGGAGGTGGAGGGTCTGAGGAAGGGGATACGTGTGACACAAGGGATTCACATGTGTATTCAGGTGGGAACGGAAGGGATAGAGGGGATGGTGGGAGGGTTAATGTGGGCGGGGTTGGAGTCGGGGGGGATGGGCTGTGTTGGGAGGGGGTAGGAGGATAGGGTGTAGGGGGGATATCGTTAGGAGGAGGATGGATATCGGCAGTCACTTGGAGTGTGGGGGGAGCAGGAGTTGTATGATTTGAAGGTCAGTTTTCATTAAGTAGTCTTGAATATTTTCAATAGTTTCTTCTAAGGAGTTGTTTGGGGAGTTTTGGGAGATAAAGGATTTCTTGTGAGGGGGGGGGGAGAGGACTGGTATCTCAAGAGTAGGGGCAAAGAAAGGTGGAGGTGATTGTGAGGTAGGGGAAGAGGGGGTAGAACGTTTGTTCTGTCTGTTACGGGTAGTGCGAGGAGGGAGAGGGGGTGTTGGGGTTGTAGTGGAGATTGGAGTGTCTATAGTAGAGATTGGAGTGTCTATAGTAGAGATTGGAGTGTCTGGATTTAGGATGGCAAAAGAGTTTGATTGGGGAAGGTAGGAGGTAGAAGAGGGGGAGTTTGATGGAGGGTGGGTGAGTTTAGGAGAAGTGGTAGAATGAGCAATATTACTGGAGCAAGAAATAAGAGAGAAACCACGTCGACGTGCTTCCTGTCTGGCTTCACGTAGTGTGAGTCCAAGTTTGAATCTGAGAATTGCTACCTCAGACTTAAATTTGTAGGTGCGTGCTTGTGCAGAGCAGTTTGATCGAGTATGGCCAGGTTGGGCACATAGTGGGCATCTGGCTGTGGAATGACAATGTTTAGCTAGACACCAACAATTTTGGCACTGATGTGGAGGAGGTTGGTATGGACGGACAGGGAGGGATTCTCCACCTATGTAAACTTTAAACGGAAGGTGTTGATGTTGAAGGTTGTGGAGGTAGAGGTGTTGAAGTTGAGCATGTTGGGAGAGTGGAAATGTCTCTTGGGGGTTGATTGTTGACTACTGTACTAGTAGGCATTGATGAGGGGGTAGTTGTAGTGTTCGGAGCCGTGGTCAAAGGAGAGCCTGGGGTCAGGGAATTGGGAGGGTTTGCATCATTGGGGCTATTTGATAAAGGGTCTCATTGCCCCTAATAGAGGAGTTACGTCTTCATGATTGGCCATGGTAAGCCTGGATTATGTTGGGGATAAAAACAGTCCACCCCTCAGGGTCCCCTTGAGGGGTAAGGGCTAGGTAACTAAATCAGGGGAATGCCGTGCCCATGGCTCCCCCAGGCCGTTCAGGACTGGCATAAAGTCAGCCTTTCATCCTATCAGCACGGCTCTCACACCTTAGGAGGTGGATAGCAGAAGAGATTGATGAAGGGACAGAAACAAAAAAGTAGGAAGGGAAAAAAGACCATGCAAAATTAGTTGAGTCGAGGGCTGAGTCCCAAGGTTGGGGAGTTCCCCATCATTGGATCCCAGTCTCTGCCTCCTAAGCCCCCCCCCCCCCCCACAACAACAACGGGCAAGGGATTGGGGGGGTCGCAGCAGAGATGAGAACCAAAAAAGTAGGAGAGAGGATAATGACAGAAATGACGAAGAATGGAGAAAGATAAAGAAATATATAAATCAATGACAAATGAAAAGAAAAAGAGAGGTATAGGAAGGAACCAGCGAAAGAGAACACGAAAAAAAAGAAGAGAAAAAAACGAAGGAGATAGAGATACAGGCAACAGAATGAAGGCGAGATAAAAAAAGAAGAGAGAATGAGACAGATAACCAGAGAATAAGAGCGAAACGGGACCTGGCACTGGATGAAGCTTCGTATAGGTCCAGGTACGAGGTGAAAAGGCGTGGCCTATGCATGACCTGGTACCGTAACGACCGTTGACTGGTTGTCTAGTGGTCGAGGCTACAGGGTGCTCATCTATGATTGGTCCTCCCATAGTAGGTTGAGTCTGATTGGTCAACCTACTTGTTGAAGGGGCGGGCTAGAGGGACCCTAAATATGTCTGATACCAAGAATTATACATATATATGTGTGTATTCATATATATATGTATGTGTGTTTGTGTAGGTGGATCGCTGAATTGCATAGCCGGGTTGCAACGGTGGTCCATACCTTACAGAAAACGTTAGGCAGGTAAAAGCGAAAAGTACGTTTGTCAAATATAGTCGATTGTTGAATGAAAATTCGTTGGTAACAAAAAAGAAAGCCAAGAGGAGGTAAGCGCAGTGAGGTATTCCTTTCTGTTCTTTACTTCCGTCTCTTCAAGCTGCTTATCGTTAAATCAGCCATTAATATAGAAGTGAAGAATCTCTCTCTCTTACCCTCACTCTCTCTCTCAGAATGTGGCGATGTGTTGCCAGATGTTGGTGTGTAGTGATGTTACCATGTGTTGCAACATGTAATCCGGTGTTGGCATATGTGACTTCCCCTGTGTTGGTGTGTGGCCATGTGTTATCTGGGGCGGGATTCACGAGAGGTCATACAATAGATTCTAACAGAAGAAAGAAAGAAAGAAAAAAAAATCCTCCAATGTTTAATGCAGTTTTCTCTTCGATATTCATACATGACGTTTCACGCTCTCACAGCTGACTCCATGACAACAAATGTAGAGGGGTGTCATGCAAACATATTTTAAATGTGTAATGGTAAAATCAGTATAGAGATTCATTGCAATTATTCTTTCAGTGTGAGAGAGGCGACATCGTTTTAAGGACAGTCCTTAAATCCCATGATCTCTCGTAAATACCAGCCTGGGTGTTGTGTGTGACGATACATGTTGACTAATGTTAATGAACACTATTATATTCATTGTAAGCCACCAGAGTAATATTATAGACAGTACTGTTTTTAGATATAATTTCTTTAAATTCTTATTTCTGTGTCTGATTTTTCCACTACTTAACCACCTATTAATATAAAAGCAATTAGTTTTATTTTGATACCCCTAGAACAGTGGTTTCCCACCTTTTCTATTCTTTATTGATATGTGAGAGATTATTATCTGTTGGTGGGACAAAATCCAGTTTACTTGGAAGCCACAATTTTCATACTATTCCAAGACCCCCGGAAAGAATCCTATGGCCGCTTAAAGATATTGTCACTCAGCCGAACCGCATCTTTGGGTGATTGTGGAAGGCGGCAGCGAACACTAAAACTGAATATTAACCTGTTTATTGTATAGAAGAAAATAAATAAAACGATGTCTACTTAAGTGCGAATGGACCAATTCCTCACTGTCATCATCTTTGTGAAAATAAAAAATAATAATCCTAAGTCCCCCCCCCCCCCCATATCCTACTCATCGGCACAATCACCAATTTCGCTGGTTTTTAAACCGTAAAAATTAAAAGAAAGGGAATTCTCTTCAAGTAAAAGAAAAAAATATTTTTTTATTCAGTTCTCCCAAAACAATTATTCATGTAGAGATGTCAGTCAACCATCCTCTTTCCACAAATCTCTGCCGACTTCTGAGATAAAATGTGTTCAATGGTCCTCTGCCCAAAGGTGCAAGGACAGTTCACCCCTCTCTCTTTTTTCTCTCCCTTTCTCCCTCCTGCTTTCGGTTTGGCACGAAATTGCTTCCCTTTCCTCAAATTCTTCGTGTTGATAGTTACAACGCCCTAGCGGCGGCCGGCGTAACTATCGTTTTTCTGAGCGCCAAAAAGTTCTGCTACTGTGGCGAAGACTGCGGGCCTAAAAGTGCGATTTTCTAATGTAGATGAATAAATAAAGTATTGTAAATTATATCACATGTTTTATTAATGCAGAAAACACAATAATGTGAAAACTTCGATACACCTTCTCAGGTCACCCTTAAACGGAGAGTCGGACCGCCACCTCGCGCCCGTCGCCCAATTATCGCTGGGCCGTCACGAAAATCACAGGAGGCTTCTAAGGTGAAAAGTTTTGACTAAAGTATCATCATTGCTTATTTAACTTGATCCAGACGTTCAATAAACTCGTTATAAGAGGAAATGTAGAAATTCAGTATCATTACTAGGTGGACTTTAATAAGCAAAGCACAATCGTAAAAAAGTATCTTTACTCGGGAGTAGATGAAACCGAAACGACCGCCAGGAGTTGATTCGGAAATGCTGGATGAAACTGATACAATTTTACGAAAAAAACAGCCACGGCAGCTGGACAAGTCGAGAGGCCATTGCTACACACACATAAACACACATACACATACACATGCACACACATATACACACACTAACACGCACTCACACTCACACACTCTTACACACAGACATACACTCATGTACATATGCATGCATATACCCACAGTGTGTACGTGTGTTTGTGAGTGTGTATGCATATACACATGCACATATCTATACATATATAGATAGATATGTATTTATGTGCATACATACCTTGAGTGTGTAATGATTTTCCTTCTCTCGTGCAGCATGGATTACCCGACGAAGGAAAAGCTGCGGCTGGCCGAACACTCAGTTACTCCCGCCCCAGGATCCTCAGAGGCGTCAGCAGAGAAACCCGAAGAAGCAAATAACTGCTGTTTCTGCTGCAGTTATCGGACGGGCAGCATCAGCATCGCCATCTTCTATCTAGTAAGACTGGCCTCATGTTATAGTGGAGTGCCATGTTATCTGTTGTGATATATCTGTTTATAGTGGAGCGTCATGTGTTATCTGTTGTGATATGTCTGTATGTTATACCAGTGTTCAATTGTATGGTAATGACATGAACATGAATCCCGCTAATGTAAATTTATTACGTATTATCTGCAGGTGGTGCACTTAAGTTTCTTAGGCTTTGGAATCGTTGCCCTGTGCAGTGAGGGTGTGAGAAGTAGGTCATGACGTTGAGTAAAAAAATATGATGAGAAGAAAATGAAAACATGAAATATTACCTTTAGTAGTTTTCTGCAATATGTGCAATAGGAATTATTACTTGCATCAGTTTACGACAATTTAAGTAAATCTAGTTTTTTTCAGACGTTGGAGCCATGGTTTTTGTCGCACTTAGTGTGTTGACTGTTTCAATAGTCCTTATCTCCTTGATGTTACTCGGCGCCGTAAAGGTTAGTGAAAAACGTCAATGAACAGTAAACGCACACTCAAATGTATACACAACCAAATCCAAACCGAAACATAGCCTCAGCCACACACGCACGCACATATAGATACACATACACATACACGCATATACACACATAAACATACATGTACACATGTGTATATACACACCTACATGTACAAACACAAATTTATACGTACGTATGTACATACATACACATACATTCGTCCATATACATATGTACATATACATACGTACATATAGACGCATATATGCTTGTATGTATACGTACATGTACATGCATACATACTATTTTAGCTACAGGAGAGATATGAAAGAGAAATGAAATAAGGAAAGAGAAAAATGTAAGAGGGAGATATAAATAAATATGAGAAAGAAAAATTAAGAGAATAAAAAAATAATAACAGTAAAAAAAACAATGGGAAAGAAGAGAAAGGCGAATAATCGAGAAAGAATGGAAGAGAGAATGACAAAGATCAAGAAATTACGAAAGAAACAAAAGAGAGAAATATCCTAATGCTCTCCCTCGTTTCAGCGCCGTCACCAGTACCTCCTACCCTGGGCTGTGTGGGAGGGCTTCAACATCGGCCTCGAAACGGTGGGTCTGGCCATCAGTCTCTTCGGTTTTGGCGTCATTGCACTCGTGGGCTTCATTTTTCTTGCTCTCCGAGGCTGCTGCGTTTTCGTCGTCCTGCAGTACCGTGGCCAGGTAAGGGTTTTCCCCGATTAATGTTTTTTATTGTTATTGTTTTTTTCTTTTTTTCTTATTATTATTGTTATTATCTTTCTTCTCCTTTTCCTCCTCCTTCATCTTCTCCTTTTAGTTCTCCTACTCTTCCTCCTCCTTCTTCACCTCCTCTTCCTCATTCTTCTCCTTTTCCTCCTCCTCCTCATTCTGCTTCTCTTCCTTCTTCTCCTCCTCTCCCTCCTCCTCCTCCTCATTCTTCTCTTCCTACTCCTCTTCCTTCCCCTCCTGCTTCTTCTACTCCTCATTCTTCTCCTTCTTCCTCCTCCTCCTCCTCCTCCTCCTCCTCCTCCTCCTCCTCCTCCTCCTCCTCCTATTCATACTCCTCCTTCTCCTACTCTCCCTCGATTACCGTGACTGATGTATGTGTGTATATATACCGATTAAGTGATACGGAAATACGCAAATAGAATGAGGAAAACAGTCTCACACGGAGCCTTACTTTCGCAGCTGATGGCCCAGCCTCCGAAGTCAGAGGGCAACGCTCAGGCCTAATTTACGAAGATGCAGCCTCCTCTTCCTCCCACGCTTGGCTTCAAGATATTTGTGAAACCTCTAGTGTTTCATTATGCGTTTTATCTGCTTTAGCACAGTGCATGTATGTTTGTATGGATAGGTGTATCTGTATGTATATAGATGGTGATTGCTTCTTGTAGTTCTTACATAGCTATATCTACATTTATATATATATATACACGCAGAGAATTGTGACCATTAAAACCTTATTGCAAATGGAAAAGTAGAACCTGCTAATGAATTTTGCTATTTACAAGTGGTTACAACCACAAAACAAAACCCATCAGAAATGGCAGAGCAAAAATGCAGTAATCTCATACGCATCCACACACACATAAAATGTATGTATTCATAAATAAATATACATATGTGTGTGTATATGTTTGTTTTTGTTATGTTATAATTGTTTTTTATATTCCATATGGAATAAAATCTATATCCTTGTTGAAATTGACTTATTTCCCTTACTCAACGTACAAGAATGTGGTTATCTTACGTGATATTCCTTTGCAGAGAATAACCGTTATGACAGTGATAATGAAAATGACAAGAACGGTAATGACAGTGATAATGAAAATGACAAGAACGGTAATGACAATAAGAGATGAAAAACAAATAATAATAACAAGAAAAGTCGAAAACTAATAAGGTGCAGTTGTTCGCAGCAGAGATGAGAACCAAAAATGTAGGAGAGAAGGTGACATGAGAAATGATGAAGAATGGAGAAAGATAAGAAGATAAATCAGTGACAAAGGAAAAGTAGAGACAAATAGGAAGAAGCCAGCAAAAGACACCAAAGGGGACAAAAAAAAAGATAACCAGAGAAAAAACAAAGGAGATAGAGATACAGGCAACAAAATGATGGCGAGAAAGAAAAATTGAGAATGAGACATAATAAGAGAATAAGACAGCGTGGGTATCGCTCGGGAGCCAAACGGGACCTTCTGGCACTGTATGAAGCCTCGTGTAGGTCCAGGTACGAGGTCAAGGGTGAAAAGGCGTGGCCTATGCGTGACCTGGTACCGTAACGACCGTTGACTGGTTGTCTAATGGTCGAGGCTACAGAGTGCTCATCTGTGATTGGTCCTCCCATAGTAGGTTGAGTCTGATTGGTCAACCTGCTTGTTGAAGGGGCGAGCTAGAGGGACCCTAAGTATGTCTGATACCGAGAAAGAATTATACGGATATATATGTGTGTGTGCATACATATGTGTATGTGTGTGTTTCTTGTGTAGGCGCATCGCTGAATTGCATAGCTGGATTGCATCGGTGGTCCATACCTTACAGAAAACGTTAGGCAGGTAAAAGAGAAAAGTACGTTTGTTAAATATAGTAGATTGTTGAATGAAAATTCGTTGGTAACAAAGAAGAAAGCCAAGAGGTACGCGCAGTTAGGTATTCCTTATTTGCATTACTTTCTTCCGTTTCTTCAAGCTGTTCATCGTTAAATCAGCCATTAATATAGAAGTGAAGAATCTCTCTTTCTCTCTCAGAATGTGGCGCTGTGTTGCCAAATGTTGGTGTGTAGTGGTGTTCTGGTGTTGCCATGTGTTGCAGCATGTAATCCGGTGTTGACATGCGACTTCCCCTTGTGTTGATGTGTGGCCCTATGTTATCTGGGGCGG